GTAAATACAATTTATTTGAAATCACCCGCTATTTACTGTTAACGGTTATAATTTGACTCTTGACATATAATCAAAAATAATCCAGAAATTTCCGTGTTCGTGATGGAGACACGAGGAATAATGTTGGGCTAGAATACTATGTAAGAGCCAAAATGCTACAGTGTTGAACCGAGAATTTAAATTCGATTGTATTCGGTCACCCGACGATCATGAAGATGGCTGTCTTGTGGGTTGTGTCGTAACGCCAACAATGACCTCTGAAACTCCTACCAGACTTCACGACGCTTCAATACAGACGACGACGACTCTGTGTGAACCTGAAATGTTTACTTTGCTCGTGTTTTTGTAAGACTGGGATTGCAGAGTTCACATAAGCGCAGACCGAAGAAATGCTAATGACAGGGCTTACTGAAACGGAACAAAATTTGTTCGTGGAGTAAGTACTTCGGATTTTATTTGAACGCGAATAACACCACATACACGTTATATTGGTTCTGAAAATGGCTGTGATGGACCCACACTCTAACTCATTTGGATAGGTAATTTTGTATGCACTGCATTTTATTGACATTTATTGTTTATATTGTATAAGGAACAGAATGCTGGAAATGTTGCTTCGCCTTTCCCAGTCCACGTTTTAATTATGTTTAAGTGCAGATGTAAATTAGTTAATGGATTATTTCTAGCCTCCACGCCTGCGTGTTGAACAATGACAAGCCCTGTATTAGTTTCGTTACGAATTTTGGTTTTAATCTGACTGGGTTTTGAATACATTTCGCTTTCAATTCAGTTGACTTTCCAGGGGAAAAATGTTATTTTTGTACGCAATAAATGGCCAAGGTCACCGAGACATGCAAAAATCGGAGAATACCTGTCACGGGGTAACATAGTAGTCTGCTCCGAAATTTCGAGCTGGACTGTTGGTTGTGTTTTGCGGATGTGGTCGTTTAGTTATTCTGTGCGGGCGAACTGCTCTGACGTCAGTATGTCGTACCTGTGACCAGCGGAAATCATTAATTTACAAACTTGTCCAGATTTATTATGACTTAATTCGGGCAACCGTAGATTTCTAATATGGCGTCTAGTCGGTGCCTGGGAATATCTGCTGATTGAGCATGTGAGGTTTTAGTTTAATAATACTACTACTGTATGAGAAAATGTGTGTGTAAAGACGAGGGTGAATCAAATTTTGATCGGAGTTGTTGTTTCGTAAAGAACGAGATGGATTGGTGTATTTTTTTCCACGTCTGTTCCGTACCTCAAGAAGCCTGCCAAGTACGAAACTAATGATTCGAATTATTTACATGCTGTGATCAAAATTCCGGATCAAACATGAACCATTTACGTACATTCGGATTCTCAAAACGGGTTTTACAAATTGGGACACGTTTGATTTTTCGTGGTCTCCGTTTCTTTTTACGGAAACGTTCTTCGGAAATACAAATGTACAGGTATTTTTGGGTGACGAGTGTGGATTAATGTGACGCAAACTGATTTCCATGAGTCACCGCACGATTTTCCTTCTCCTGAGTTGGTCACTAACTTTTTGGACGGACTTTACGCGGCGGAGTTGTCCGGAGACAGTGCAAAGTGCAAGGCGCTGCCCTGCTTCTTCTCAGAGATGAGGTCTACTCAAAAATAGAACGATTATCCTCTCCGTCGCATCTCCTTGTGA